CAAATAATAAATGCCTAGAATCATAGGGGACACATTTTTTTTAGAGGACTTCTTTTTTAAGTTTGTTATACAAAGTCTAGTTGATTTTTAAATTTACAGTGTACATAATGCAGAGCTGTCTGTTTGACCCTCTCTCCAACTGTGGTATTGTCATTTGTATTTTTAATTTTTTTACTAATCTGTTGGATTAAAAAATACTGCCTCCTTAGAGTATAAATTTCCATTTTATTGATTACGAGAAGGCTGAGCATCTTTTCTATCATTGACTGGCATTAGTGTTTTCTCTTTGGTAAAATGTCCTGTGTTGTTTTTAATTATTTTCTATGGTGTTTGTGTTCTTTTTCCTATCAGTTTGTTTCACTGACATTCAGTCATCATTGGTTTTAAGTGTTGTGTGTCCTCTTGCTATTTTGATTTTCATTTCTGTGGCTTCCTATCACTTTGTTGCAATTTAACTCTGTCTTTTGAGAATTTCTTTTCCTGTAACATACATCATTTTGGAAGGTCCTTCAATGGAATCTTTAATAAAACTGTGCTTTGGATGAGGTTCCTCTACTTCAAAGATAGTTTAGTTAGATATATTAATTTAATGAATTGAGTGATCTATAAATTGAATATTATTCTTCTGACATTTAAAGATATTATTTGACTTTTGTTTGTGATGGTATTGGTGAAAATATCTAATTTGTAATACATTTATGTCTAATGTGGATATATGTAACGTGCATCTGTGGAGTGTAACAGTCATCACAGAATTAGACTCCGTGTTTCCTATGTAGGACTCCTTCCCCACGGCCTTCGGTCATGCTAGCTTCCTACCTGGTGCCCAGGTCTGGATTTCCTTTCTCTCTCTTGAGATTCAGTGTTTCCTAGCTTCCAAGCTTTAATTCCTGGAATATCTCAACGTTGTCTCTTTGAATATTTTATGTCCTGTGCTCTTTACTCCATAAGGAACTGACCGAACACAGTTTCCTTAACTTCAGAGGAATGTTCGAGCACTTACTCTGTGCCCCTAGAGGTTCACCAGTCCGTAAACGTGACAGCCCTCCTGATTATCCAGGGTCCGCAGCCAAGGGAGTGGAATCTGCACAGTGGACGGCTACATGGTAAAGGGTTCCGGGGCTGAGACAGGAGGCAGGAACCGCCTCCTCTTTAGTGTTTAACCATTAAAGCTTCTGTTAGCTCCGCCTCTTGTGGCTTGTCTTACTGACCTCACGTAAGCAACTGTCCTCTCTCAACCTCCATTCTGAGACAAACACGGCTTCCCAGAGATGGTCTCACACCACCAAGCACACAGCGATCCTGTCGTGCCTCTTAAATAAATAGATCCTATATTTCTGCTAGTATAGGCCATTTTATTAGTTCTGCTGTGTAAAATAATGCTGTTCAGCAACTGGGAAAAGGACTTTAATATCTTTCAGCTCTAAAATACACATGCCAGACTTCACCTCCAATGCTGCTTCTCAGTTTCAAAATGCTAGCTGGATCCAGCATTTGAGAAATACAAGTATCAGACAGTTGGTGGAAAGTGCTGTTTGCAACAAATAATTAATAACAGAAAATTCAAAATTAGGTATAGCATGCAAATGAGAGGCCCCTAAGATTGACTGTCAAGAGTTTTATGAAAAATTTGTCTCTGAAATTCATGTTAATATGCACTGGAAGATGTCAAATATCTTCCTCTTTTTTGATTCATAACATGGATTAAAATAGTAAATAGCTTCATAAGACAAAATAGATTGCAGCAAGGACTATATTCTTCACTTCAAATTAACCTTTGTTTGTTCCCGGCCCTGCAGAATCTCACAAGCATTTTGGTGCCAGGGAACAAATAGCCTTTTCCTCAATTTGTCAGCTTTGAGATTTTTATGTGATCTGGCTTGTGATATTTCCTTTTCCTGTGCTCATTTATAATACAAACAGATGTTAGTTAATTGTGCACTAAGCGACTTATTCATATGTTACCAGAACTTGAGGAGTATTTGTCAAATGAAGAGAACATTTTTAAATGAAAAGTAAAATAAGAACATAGTTGCGTACCCTGGGGATCTAACCCAGGGAGGCTCACCTATGCTAGACATCTGCTCTGAACATGTCCTATTTCAATGGAAGAAAACAGTTCTAAAGGAGCAAAAAGTTCAAAACATAAACATGAAAACAGATACAGAACTTTGTCATCTATATGTGTATATATGTTATATATAATACTACATATTTCTATATAATTTATGATGTACACATCTAATTCTATCTTATTATCTATTTCTATCTTACAATTTGCTTCTTAAGTAAAAGCTCAAGAACAAATTTTATCAAGAAGAAATACATTATGGAAATAAACTGGTGTTTTCTACTTTATGTTGGGCAGCTTCTGAGCGTCCACAGATAGCTCCTCCCAGTGATAGCAATATATGATCTCAGTTCTACTCCTAATGCTCAGAAGCACAACCTCTCTTCTACTGGGAGCCTCACTGTAATTTTCCATGGTCTTTGCAGGAAACTGACAAGACGGGGAAAAACAAGGATGAGGATTTCTCGTTCTTTGAAGCATTCCTACTGGCAGGATCTCTGAGATTCCTACAGCAGATAGGTGTGGCTTAATCATTTAGCCAACTCAAACCTATTCTAATTTCTGTCAGAATACTGCAACACGGGCTTTTTCTTACATCTTGACTTAGTAATTTCTAAGAGACTGTTAACACCTTCTACATTAATACTTCTCAAAACATGGACCAACTGAATTACAGTTGCCACTGGTGTTTTTGTGTCCTTAGTGACCTGAAGCATTCTATGTATCAGTAGGGAGCAGAAAAAGCTCCGAATTTTTGTAAGTTTCCTACGTTATGAACATCCAGGTTTGGGACTGTGGTTTTATAGCTTGAGGCTTAACATGTGGTAACATGTGTGTATTTTCAACGCATTTCTCTTTGGAGACAGTGATTTATGATAGTATTGTTTTTTAGAGAGCTAATGTAGTGTAGTGACACACAGTCACACTCAACATGGTGCCCGAGTTGACTTATGAGAGAAAAGAGCCCTTGCTGGAACTGCTCTACAGAGACATCGCTAGCAGGCAATCTTATCTTTAGGAAAGGGCTACAAACACAAAGGCAACGGCTGGTATGCTTTAAGGTGCAAATAGAGGTCACACAATTTTTGCACAGAAGATTGAACCCGGGATTAGAACAGGGTAGAAATCAAATCAGAGACCGTGAAGGAAATCATGATTCCAGTAACAAAAAAAGGCAATCAAAGATGGCAGAAAACGTAAAAAGAAATACATTAATTCAAAGGGCACCATGGAATGAGGCCATTAAATAGCTCATTATGACTCCACTTAGCAGCATCTGAATGTTTAAGTGTGCATAGCATAAATTGTATTCATAATTACAACCAATATACCCAGCAAGGGATGAGGTGTTTTTCATGGTTATGTTCAAACCAACCAGGGAAGCTAAGACAAGAGAAGCGTTTGAAATGTAAGTGCTTAGTTGATTTTCAATCTCAGAAGTTTCCGTGCTAATTTTTACTATCCATATGCATTCTAGCCTTTACTTATAATGCTATTTGTTGAAAATCTTAGTAGTAATCAACTACACTTGCAAACTGTCTTGTCATCACACTCATAAAATTAAACTTTTTGCAGCATAACTCTATTTTTTATGTAGTGAATTTAGATTAAGGAGACCTACAGTTGATTCTTGTTAAATGTCGTTTTCTCATTTTGTTCAGTACCTCATGATTTATGTTAAGGACAATACTTTCTGAAATAGCAGATCAAAAATACAACCACCCACATATTTACTGTTCGTTTCTGACAGCTAAATAAGCTCGTCCTTAGTATATCCTAGTACAGGAGAGTGATGACTTACAGATGTTCGAAAGTGAATGGATGATTCTCCAAAACTAAGTTTGGCTTGTCTTTCTAAAATACATATCTGATGTTATCATTTATCACATAGTCATAAAATCTGGTACATATTATGTATATTAAAAAGTTATCCTTGTGAAAATCTAACATTTTGACTCTCTTTAAATTTTACCTTAAAATGCCATAGAATTATTTTGGCAATGCTCTTTTAAAGAGACCTAAATCTTTGCTGAACAACTTCATAATTTTAGCTAAATGTAACTCGAATATAATCATGTGCTGGAACTATGCCATCAACTTTTAAAAATGACTTATTTATAGAAATTGAACAGTTTCTTTGTCTCTGCCTTAAGTTTGTTATCAACTGAGGTGTTTTATCAGCTATAGGATGACTACAACATGACTACAGCTAATAACAATATTCTGGATATTTCAGAAAAGCTAGAAGAAAAGATTTAGCACCTTTTCATCAAAAATAGAGATGTTTACCCTGATTTGAATGTTATAATATATGTGCAACAAAATACTGAATAGTTCTCAGTAAACACATGCCATTTTTACATGTCAATGGAAAAAAGTAAAAAGAAACCCAAATGGTATTGATTACGTATGTAATGGGTATAACTAGAAAACATTAATTAATCATGAAATTTCCTAATTTTTTGAAAAGAGGAAAAATCTTAAAAGCAATTTAGAAAAATGTAAATAAGTAACATATTTGTGTACATGATATTTTAAAATGAAATGATTGCAGTAACTTCAGGATAACAATGTCACTAGGAAATGTCTTTTCAAAAATTCTTGTAATTTTATAGAAAGTTAGTTCACTATGATTCTTCTTGTGTTATTTGATAACTTTTTATCTTTATAAATCTAAGACTATTTTGCAATTGTGTTTGTTAAATAATACTAGTTCTCCAAAAGTGTGTTTGTTGCAAAAATGGATTTAAAATTCCAAAAGGGTTCCTTGCCTGACATTTCTGATTTTATGTTTTTGTTCTACATTACCCATTAACCTCCAGTTGTATTGATAATGGTTTGGGATTCCGAGCAGAGTTAGCTTCCTCATTATTGAAAAAGAAGAGCTTGTGGCTTGCACTTCTTTTTGCCTTAACCATTCACTTCTCAGACATTGACCAGTGGAACAAAGTAATTGAGCAACTGGGAACCCCATGTCCAGAATTCATGAAGAAACTGCAGCCCACAGTAAGAAACTATGTGGAGAATCGGCCCAAGTATGCTGGGCTCACCTTCCCCAAGCTCTTCCCCGACTCCCTCTTCCCAGCGGACTCTGAGCACAATAAACTCAAAGGTACGTCTCTCGGGGGCAACCGCAAACCATCATGGGGCTGATAGGCTGAAAAATGTGTGATACAGAGACCTTCGTTTAACTGGAGTTTCCTCAGGATAAGGGGAGGTATTTCTTAAAAGAGATTCCTTACCAAGAGAAGTGGCTCAGAGTTTTATAACTGTGCAGACACAGAAGAATGAATCATGGGACAGTGGTGTAGGAGAGCTACTTCATGGGGGCTTAGTTTGAATCTTAAAACATCTTTGGAAGTATAATTCTCAAAAGACCAATGTGATATAGATTAAATCATTGTTTCAATTCTCCTTAATACTTAGAAAATATTTCCACACAAGTTTTCCGTTGTAAAATCTTGGAGGTGCAGGCAGCTGAGTTCCTTTTATTGGTATTTAATGAATTGCTTAACCATCTTTAAAAATTTTTTTAAGTAGTAAATCAGATTTTTGCTTCCACGTTTTTGTTCAACATAAGCACTTCCATCATAAATGCTTCTTTCTACTACTGTGTCAGCAGTTACCCCATGATTTCTGTGTTGTTGATACTTAATTTGGACTATTAGGTTTCTTCCTTCAGCTGCCTCTATGGATTCCGTGATTGGAAAAGGACTAAATTGTTATAAAAGCTTTTGTTTTTAAGATCAGTGATATAAATACACAGATTGGGAAAAAAGCTCCGACTCCAAATAGAGATTGCTTAACATTTATATTTTTTGATACTATTAAGCAAAAGTAATTTCTTCCTCAAAAGACACTTATAAAGTAACAAAATAGAGACAGCAAAACCTTTGTCAAACTGTTGAATGACAGTGACAACCCCTGTAGAAAAAACTGGAAAGCGAAGTATTATATTTCATATAATGCAATAATATTATAATATGTACATTTAATGTAATATAATTATATTATGAATGTGATATGATTGTTTTAATATAATTAATATATTTAATTATATTAATATATATTATATATAATATATATTATTTGATAATATAATTAATATAATATAATTAATATAATCCTAAATATTTTGAGTTTCCTCTTAATCAGAACCTCTACAAGTGTTTCTTTTTGTAAATTACAAACCAGTTTACATAATAAGATGATTTAATTTTGATATTGACATCAATTGGCACATTATGAGGAATCATAATATACCCAAGAACAATGAGGAGAATTTACTGCATTTGGAAAACAGTGTAACAGCTTTGCTTAAAGAGGAAAAAGCAAGCATCACACTCCTCCCTCCACTTTGTTTCTTACACAAGGAGTCGCTTACTGATTCTTGGTGAGCTACTCTGGCATCACCCAGAGGGAAGCACCCATTCTAACCCCTGTGCTTTCTAGGAGGAGAGATACAGATACAGATGCTCAGGAGAGCCTGTGTGTTCGTGGTGGGGTAAGGCAACGAGGGCTCAAACTCATGACATAAAGCATGAGTCTTCTTGGCTGTGAGAAGGCTACAGGAAATTAGAAAGCTTTAACTTTGAATTAATATATAATTCAATAATTAATATAATTATAATTAATTAATAATATAATTATTTTTCTTACTTTGTAAACTTCAAAACTGTATTAGAAAATGAGACATCATTTGTGATTGAACTTTCAAAAAAAGTAGTCAATAGAAAAAAATCTCCCAAAGTCTGACTTAACTAATGATTTTTCTTCATATTAGTCCAAAACATTAGAAGGCATGTGGAAAAGCATGAAATACTAACAGGATAGGTGGAAAAATAGTCAGTTACATGTCACCGACTAGTATTGTCAAATTATGTGAAAAATAACTGACCAGAAAACAAGTGAATGGAAAAATTCCCACTAGAAAAACGTACAACCCTGACTTGTGGGAATAATTGATATTTCCTGATTTTTGTATTCTATGTTATTTTCAAATTTGTATGATTAACTCAGTTGTCTTAAAAAACAAAACTGAGAAATCAGCAGATTCAAGAATGTTGACATTTTCTTAAATCAATTGAGGATCTGCTCTCTAAATTTGAAGTTTCACTGTATATTTAGAAAAAACTAAATATTTTCATTGTTAACTTTTCAAATCATCTAGATAACAGTATTGGTTTGAAATACTCATTTTTTGTTTTGGTTAATACTATTTTATGCAAAATGTGTGTTTTAGATATTAAAATTAATTTGCCTTGTAATAGTGTTGTTAAACAATCTTGCTAATTATCACCATATAATTTTATAACTGTGCTGCTCACAATGCTAAAATTAATCATGCAAACATGTACATGGTATGGAGTGTTTCACTGCTACCTGGCAGGCATAGCTTGGGAATGGCTTTAGTCACTAAGTTCTAGGTGTCTCCAAGTTATGCTTCTGTTGATTTAACATGCCTGACGATTACAGAATGTTAAAATGAAGTTTAGTAGTTGAATGTTATGATTTGTACCTCATCCACACTTCAGATTGTTTTTATGATTATAAGAAGTTGGGATTATCTGATCTTTAAATCAATGCAAAATCTATTCAAATTTTGATGAAGCCATTGTCTTAATAAAAACATGAAAACACACATATTGGTTAGCCCCAAATAGCCAGCCCTACATTCGTGAAGCATTGAGTTCCTATTTCCCACCCGCCCGTTTTTGCAGATGGTCCGATCAGATTACCTTTCCCAGATAACCTCTGGGTTGAGAGGTGTCATGGAGAACTGAACTCACACGCTTAGAGCTTTGAGCCCCGAGGGGGCCCCAGATGGTGTTCAGAGGCTTTATGACAGAAAGGGATGTAAAACGCACTTCTCTCTTCACACACTAAGAATGTTTCTGATGTTTAGAGTGAAGGTAGTTATTTGTTTTCTTAGTCTCCTCTCTATCTAGCAAAGTCCCTCGTGGAAATTAAAATCTTACTAACTATTGTCCTCCTGTGATCTTTCAGCCAGCCAAGCCAGAGACTTGTTGTCAAAGATGCTAGTGATTGACCCAGCCAAAAGGATCTCGGTGGACGACGCCTTGCAGCACCCCTACATCAACGTCTGGTACGACCCTGCCGAGGTGGAGGCGGTAAGGCTTGGGCCCATTTGACTTGCTCCCCTGGACACCCGCAGTGCATGGCGAGAACTAGAAAAAACACCCAAAAGATTTCTATAAACTCTCCACATCCAAGGACCATTACATTTCCCTTGCAAAGTTATCTCCTTGGACCTGTGTGTTTTTTGTTTTATTTGTACCTTCTTGGCTTTAATAATATAGTTGAGCATCATACATCTGTTATAAAAATATTATTTCAACAAATTTGCTTTTCTACTGTTGCAAATTAAGGTGTCCCAGATCACGATGGACCTGTGTTTTAAATGGAGTTTTTCAGAACTTCCTATTAAATGGAATGTTAGTACAACCTGTGTATTTGTCTCCATCCGCCTTCTTTGCTTCCTTCTTTTCCTTTTTCTCTGCTTCCCAGCCTGCCTCCCTCCCTCCACAGTTCTAAGGATCAAACAGTATTGTTTTGCGTATTGGCAGGTGCCATACTGTACTGTGAGCTACATGGCATCCTCCGTCTAAATGCTGTGGCTCACTGCCACTTGTTTTCCTGATTAGTGACACTTGTGTTTCCTCCAGGGTGATAAACTATCAGCCTCTCCTCATGCAAACCTCATAGTAGAAAGCATAATAGAAAATGATTCACTTTGTTCTATTTGCTGTTTGAGACATCTTTCGCAGGCGCCCCATGGGGATGGTGGGTGCCCACATGCCACATCCAGCTCCTGGTGAGAAATTCTTTTCGGTGCTGCTTTTAATGTTACTCTCCTGTTGCCCTCTCCTCAAAACGTCAGCATCACCTCGAAATCTTAAAGTATCTGTGCTAGCAACTTACTTGCCTTTAACATGGTGCATTCATGTGTTTGAATTTGCCCCTCATCTTCTATTTGAAATACTGTGTGCTCTGGCCAGGAAATATTTTTGCTCTGTGTCAGTATCTTTTGCTCTGCTTCATCCTGTCCTTGCCCAGTTCACAGGTACTAAATGCAAACTTGCATAATTCTCGCGTCTTCATTTTTCACTAGAGAAGCAAGAGAGAGCTGAAAGATGATGTGAGGGTCAGGTAGAACTGAATGCCATTGTCAGCATATGCAGCCAGCTCCTTTGGAAGTAGATAATCCAATCCTGAGGCCTTTGAAAGCTTCAGACACAGCAGTGCAGTCAGGAGTGCAATGAGGATGAAGACCCAGGACTCCCCATCCTGCTGGACTTTATCTTAGGATATGCTCAGATGAGCAGTTACAAAGGGTGCTGACGTTTGAGTTTGCCTCAAATTAAGTTTTCAGTCATTTGATTTTATTCTTACAACATAAATTCTCTGCGATTACTTTTGAGCTTGTAATTCATATATCTTAGAAAACTGTCTCTTAGTACCTAATAATTGTTCATGGAAACCTCAGCAGTTTGGAGGAAACAGCAAACATCCTCTGCAATTGTTTTTTTTTTGGCAGGACATTTGCAAGTCACCAATCCGAGAATGTTATTCAGTTCCCCTTGCTGCTGATTGGCTGCTGCCTGGTAACCTATCTAGGGCAGATGCGCCAGCATTCCTGCTTTGTAATAGGTTGTTGCACTGAATGTAGGTATCTCCACGGTTCTGCAGTTTGTTCTTAAGGCCCTGTGATCCAATCAGATGCCTCTGCATATGCCCTGCACCTTCTAAGGCTGTCTTAATACAATATTTTATTAACTTACTTAACTGCAGGAGACGTAGTGTATTTAGGGTTTAAACCATAAAGATAGGCATTTAGAGGTATTTTCCTGACCATATCTGAAATTCAGGGTTTTCACAGTGTACCAGTGCTCTAGGAAGATAACCTCCGTTATCTTCCGGGGGGGGGGGGGGCTCTGTACACATTTTGGTAGGTAAAAGAGAACGTCTTCCAGTCTGTCATGCTTTAAAGACAGATTCAGTTTGGAGTAGGATAAACTAAGGCATCTTTAAAATCATCGGTGTCCAATCTTTCAGCTTGCCTGGGCCACTGAGTGAAGAATTGTTATCTTGGGCTGCATAAAAGTGTGTAGTATACTCTGTGTGTATAAGTGGACAGTCTTCCTTTATAATTTTGGCTAATTATTAAATTATTTTGCAAATGACGCCACAGGCCCAAGGTTAGTAACTAAGTAAGCAAACTTCCATGGCTGCCTCGCAGCAGCGCCAGGGGTGGGCAGGGATTTCCCTCCCAGTTCCTTAGCCAGGGAGGATCTGATGCAGGAGGAGCTGCTTTACCAGAGTCAGGTGGGGGCAGGCAGAGAGGAAACTGCAGGTGACTGTTCTCTGGGCACAGAGCTCTGTCGTCCCCAGTGTGTGCTGGACACCACAATGGAGTCATAAGCAGTGTTACCAGAAGTCCCATTGTCACGCTGAAAGTTCATGGCTCTGAAGGCCATGTTGCTAGCTGTCCAGAGCTCTTCCGGCCTGCAAGTCTGGATGGACACCACTGGTCTATATGATTATGAAATTGAGGAAGGGCAGTTTTTCTCTGACAAAATCCAAGAAAATGTTTTAGGTTGTGCCAATATCGATTTTTGTATAAGTAAGTTATTTGAGATTGTTTCTTTTTATTTATTTTGATGGTTCCATCATGTGGCATATTTATTTTTGCTTACATCTAATTGAAAGTAAATAATCTGTCTTTAATGGATTTTGAACTAAATGGTCATTAGTCATAAACTCTACATTTGTAATTCACTTGCTTTATGTCACCCATAAAAGAGACATGACTTAGGATCTATAGCAGCATAGTACAGCACATAGTAAAGTATATTTTAACTTTTTATGAAAAATCATTTTATGGGGCTAGGGATTTAGCTTAGTGGCATAAGCACCTGCCTTGCAAGGTGCAAGTTCAATCCCTGGTACCGGTAAAAATAAATAAAATAAAATAAAGAGGCAAAAAAATCATTCTATGTTAATAAAAAACAGTACAACGTAGTACTGAACAGTCTAAAGACTGTTTTTCAGCCATCTCAATACTGTTGTGCTGCAGCATGAGGAACAAGACAGGACTAATGAATTTTAGGGGGAGCCTCTTACACAGCCCAGATCTCCAGGGGAAGGAGAGGACACACACCTGATTGCCCAAGGGTAAAGTTATCTGAGCATCTACAGGTGTTACAGTTAGTCCCGACCAAGGGCAGACATAGTTTATTGTTCTTTCAAATATATTACAGAGGTCACAACTGGGAAATGACAGGTCCTGAGGACGTTGAAGGCACATCAGCTATGTTGTTTTGCCCCACCAGCGGAATCAGTGTCTTTATTACCATACATGAGTGAATGCTTAAAATTACATGACCTTTCTTTACGGTCACACAGCGAGAGCTGTGTTATGGAGTAGTATGCCTTCTGCTGGGACTGGCAAGAGTATTTTGTAGCATAAACAAGGGAGTGCTGAACTCCAAATAAATAAATCAAATAATTGGAAGTTATATCATCAGAAATTGAAAGCCTAAGCAGCTTTCACTTAGCTCACTCACATGATACTAAGCAGGCAAGAAAATTCAAAGGTGAGAATAAAGAAAAATTTTTATTGAAGGGAAATAGAGATAGGAGGAAAGAAATTAAGGAAAAATTGCACAAGAAGATTGTGCCTCAAGGAGCAATGAAGAGCAGGGAAATGCTGTGTGCACCATTAATCTGTCGACCTATGGGCCATCTTAGGTGTTTCCCAACTTCCAGAGCCAACGAAGAAGAGAGTATAAATATTTTCATAATTCTAACAGGGAAAATTAGTCAAGTACAAATGCAATTGAAAATTTAACAGTTTAGACTCACACTTAGCAAGTTCTTTTGCTTGTAATATTAGTACATAAAGATTTTAAGTTATAGCTGCTAAAATTTTGAGCAAACTCTTCCAAGTAATGTTTAGAGTTTAACAAGAAGTATATATCCCAAACAGACCACAAAGGCCACACTAAAAGTTAGTAATTTTTGTAAACAATTGAATTTCCCTGCCTGTGGTTTCTTGTTCATCAAGAGAGCAAGGATACCACAGACAGCTACAATTAGTGAGCTCTTTGCATGTCATAGGTACAGAAAAGATGGCTTATGTTAAATTTTTGATCTGTCCATTAGGTGCTCACCTCAGTGAAGTTTATTAACCTTTCTGGGACCCAGTCTTCTTAGCTAAAATATTCTGCTGTCTGATCACATTTACAACATGTGGTCAGCTAGGAAAGGCCACGTAGATCATTATCATCCTCACTGTAATAAATTTCTGTATTACCAGATAGCTAGATAATTCTGAAGTTGTTTACTAAGAAAGTATACCAAGGAAAGACTTAATTCATAAAGATTCACCTATAAATCTACTGACTATCCTTCAGACAAAACTGAAGGGGTAGAGGGTACTTGGAATTATTCACATCCTTTTGTTTTTTTACCACTTCAGTGTTTTGAATGTTTTTAAATACCATGTTTCTTTTATTATTGAACTTCATGAATTATTTTTGTATTGTTTCTACCTCCATTCATTACGGCTTACCTCGTTATCATCTACTGAATTGGCTTACCTGGTTATCATCTACTGAATTGGCTTACCTGGTTATCATCTACTGAATTGGCTTACCTGGTTATCATCTACTGAATTCTTGTAAATACATATTACATTCCTAAAGGAACAGGTTTAGAATAAACTTATAAATACATTCAGTATATTTTGCTAGAGTCAATGTGGATAAACCTAGAAATGATAAGAAAAATCTCATTCGAGGGCCGGGAATTTAGCTCAGTGGCATAAGCGCCTGCCTGGCAAGTGTGAGATTGAGTTCAATCCCAGGTACAAAAAAACAAAATAATCAGCTACGATGAATAGAAATTTAATATATCTACTACTCAAGCAATTTTTTAATAGTTTACTTTTTGGGGATAAATCACTAAATGCAATATACATATTCTTGCTTCAAATATTTTATAATCATTTTATTAAAACGTTGAGCCTGAGTTTGCCATTGTGGCAAACACAGCATGAAGTGTCTGGGAGAGACCACCCGAATGAGTTATAAATGAAAACAGTGCAGAC